TACCTCCTATTGTAAGGTCCTACCGCAACCTGCTCCGTGAAGCTAGCAGCAGCTCCACCAAAAACAGGTGATTTACACCAGGGACGGCCCGTGATCGGAATCATCCATGGGGAATGTTCGAGATAAGTTGATCGACTAAACGAACTGGGACCCCAAATAAGTGGTACTCGAATCCAAAATTGCTAAATGGGCTCCCTGCGATGGTGTCTGAAGACCAGGGAAGTTGAAAAAGCCATGTAGCAGCCCGATGATTACGAGGAAGCCTAGATCGAGTATGACCTATCAATAGCTACCTTCATAGAGGTAAGAGACGGGTGCCCATTACTGGATGGCAGATATAGGTGTCTAGCCCAGAAGAAAAAAGAAACAGCACACACGACCAATTCAAATCATTTGCTCATCCAGAAAACTTCAAATGCATTATATTAAACACCCTGCACAGCGAAGACAAGAGTAGCACGGGAAGCCCCCGCATCATCTCGTGGATTGATTAGTTAAGAAGCTGGTTTTATTATTCTTCTTTAGTGACAACAGAAGCAAAAAAGAGCCAAAAACCAACTCTGAAATATGCTGATCAACTGAGAGACCCAAGCATAGCATGACGTTGTGTTAGGCTGCTTTCATAGTCTGTGCCGTCCGCGAACACCGCCCGCACGGTCTGTGCGGGCGGCGCAGACTATAAAAGCAGCCTTACCCACTGTCACTGCTAGACGCTCTTGTTGTTGGGAGGAGGGATGGGAACATTCGATTGAGTGAGCCACTTACAGCACATGGGATCAAGCCCCAGGGAGGGGACGGACTCTGGTGGAAAATGTAAGCAGATTGTGTTCTCCTTAGCGTTTCTCCACCTTGGCGCGGAAAAGGTCCTCCTAAATAAAATGAGCGCCTACTGCTTGATAAAGAGGATAGACGGATCGCCAATACTATCTTATTCGGCAGCTAACATCAAGAGATTGGTTCGCGCAGCACATATATTGAGAAACAGGAAGCACCTGCACATCCTCCATAGAGTCATGAGGGACTGTGCTCGAAGCAACATCTTGCAATAGCGAGTTTTTCTCGTCCTGAATGAAGGTTCGTTATCTT